GCCAGATAAAGCTGGTGGGTTTTTTTTGTTGTTGTTTGTTTTCCAGTGCTGAGGATCAAACTTGGGACCCTGGGCTCGTCAGGCAGGTGTTTATGCCACTGAGCTATATCCCCAGTCCCACTAAATAAAGTTTTATTGGCACACTGGCTGTGTGCGCTGAGGCAGAGCAGAGCCACTGTGAAACAGATTGATAGCTGGAAAAGCCTGAGGTGTTTTCTACCTGGCCCATGATGGAGACCTTGGAACCACATCGTCAACTCCAGCATGGCAGCTGAGCACTTCCTTGCCTCTGGCTGCAGCGGTCAGCTGAATGATAGATGGGCTTGTGACTCCAAGGCCACTGGAGCCTCCGGGGCCTCATTTATAGGTGATGGGGCTTTTGGGGGGACCAGAGCCTGAAGTCAGATGCCCTTGGGTCTCACCCCTACCCAGACTTGGGAGCCAACTTCATCTGGGCATTATACCTGAGCTCCAGCCAATACCCTGGCTTTCTTCCTGTGTGTGTGTGTGTGTGTGTGTGTGTGTGTGTGTGTGTGCAGGGTCTCACTAAGCAGCTCAAATGCATAGTGATCCTTCTGCTTTTAGCCTCAGGTACTGGGATTACAGGCACATACCACCACGCCTGGACTCGGCTGCCAGCTCAGTATGCCTAGGGGTGGGGCCAGCATAGCAGGTGGTACCAGGGATTGAACCCCAGCCCCTGCTCTTGCCTATGCAGACACTTAGTCCACTCAGCTATCTCGCTAGCCCTTTCTTCCTCTTCTGCAGCATGGGTAACCACTAGGGCTCAGCTGCCTTGTAAGCCAATAACCATGGCTTGTCAGCCCTGTGCATGAAGGACAGCTACAGTAGCCTGGCCTCTACTCAGGGTCTCCTGGGGGCACAGTCATCAAAGATGAGACCTCCCAGGGATCCAGAGAGCCCCTGTGCCCTGGAATGACCTACCCTACTGAGGTCCTACGACAGCCTCCACAGTGAGATTCATACAATGAACAGGGAGGGAGAGGGGTCAGTCTCGGAAGCCAGGTCCCCTGGTCACACTGATGGCCCCCTGGGATGTGTTCTGCTATCTGCTGGGAGCAGGGAGAGAGCTCAGTTTTGTTCTAAATAACTGACAGAGGGTCCCCCAGGTGCACATATGTGGGCTGGGCAAACTCTGGGAATGTCCTGGTCACTGCAGGGGCTGAGCAGCATCCCAGCCTCCACCTGCTGAGTACCAGCAGCTCCCCAATAAGGCAGCTACACACATCCCCAGTTTGAGAATTGCTGGAACATGACTCACAGTGGAGACCCGTGTACCCCAGGTCAGTGCAGGGCCACCAATCCTGCTGCCTCCTTCCTTTCCCAAAGGGAGGACTCCTAAGTGCAATCCAAGCCTGGCTTCTCAAACTCACAAGCTTGCCCTGCTGCAGAGGGCAGCCCAGTGTCCCACACATGGGCCTCCCTCCACCACAGGGTACCCTATCCTCAGAACAATCACAACTTGTAGGGTTTTGGCTGCAGAACAAAGTTCTCAAAGGCAGCCTCTCTGGGAACAGCAAGGGCTTTATTAGTGTGAGGGCCCAATGCCGATCGAGGCCAGGCCCACTAGGCAAAGGGTGTGTCAGGGAGATGATGGTCACCGGCCCAGCGGGGCAGGCTGAGGACCTGGGCCATCTCCCTGAGTGCCTTCGAGCCCCTTTCATTTTGCCTTGAAACCCAAACACAAAATGACACTCATCTGCTACCCAAGGCAGACCATTTAGGAAAAATGGGCCCCCTGCTAAAATGCAATGGTTGGGCCGGGGAGATGACTCAGTGGAATAAGCGCTTCCCTGGCAAGCACAAGGAACTCAGTTCAATCCCCGGTTCTGCCAAAAATAAACAAATAAATAAATGCAATGGTTGGACTGGGGATACAGCTCAGCGGCAAGGCACCTGCCTGGCAAAGGCAAGGTCCTGAGTTCCACTCCTGGTACCTAAATAAATTAGTAAATAAAATGAATAAAATCAAATAAAATGCAGTGGTCTCACTGTCTGATACCCCAGTGAGATGAGCAGTCACTGCACATGTGCCACAACGCTCCATCCTAACTTGCAGCCCCCTCACACGTGGCACGTGCAGGAAGGCAGGGGTTTTACTCCCTACCTGCACCTTGGGATCCTTGGATTCTAACTGGGTCCCCTGTATATCCCCACACCACAGCCTGTGACTGGGCAGGCGATTACAGGTTAGAGCCTGGCCTTGGCAACTTAGCAAAACTTCACCTCAAAATAAAAAATAAAAAAGAGATAGGATGTAGCTTAGTGCGAAGGGCCTGGGCTCAGTCCCTAGCAGAGCAAAAACTTAAACTGAAAATCCACCTCTGCTCCCTGCCACCTTGGAGACGCGTATCCAGGCCCTCGATCTCTGGGTCAGCTCTTGAGTGCGCAGGGGTAGGTTCCCACTCCAAAGCCTCTGTGCTCCACCAAACTCAAGCCTGGCTTAGGTGGGGAAGATATTCCCGTCCTGCAGACGCCAGCACCTGCTCCTAGTCCAGCCTGGTGTTTTTAGTGAGGCCTTTTCTCAGGTCATCTTCCCAACTCAGGCTCTGGCCTGCTACTGCTTCCCACAGGCATCCTGTAGGGAGACACTGGCTTGTGAGCAAATTTGGATCAAGCTCCCTGAGGCTTCTCTTTTGCTCTGGAATTCCTCTTCTGTACCACAGGTTTAGTGAACACCCTCTCCTGCACCTCCTCCTATTCCTTCACCAAGGGGCCGATGCCAGGTGCTGGCACAGCCCTCCAGCCCTGAGTCATGCAGACTGAAGCTCCCGAGGAGCCGCTGACCTGAGTGGAGCATGACCCTGCTGGGAGCCACTCTGACTTCTAGGAAGCCTGCAGCATGGACCTCGGCTCAAGCTTTCCAGGCACCCAGTGAGAGAGGAAGCATTGCAGGGATCTCCACGGAGTTCTCAGAGGGAACAATTCCTTCAGCTCTGCACACCACAGACCTCATAGTTCACACCCTGCTGCAGACACAGCAGGAACCTTTGGAGCCTGGCTAGGCTCCCTCCCACCTCCCACCTAGAGCAGCTGCTGCCACACTGGGCACTCTACTCTCACCTGCTATCTGAAGGGACTACACCTCTTCTTCAGAAGAACTAAACATTCAAGAGATATTGAGGACCACATTATAACACAGCTATGATGCTCAAAGCACGTGCTTCTCCAAGCAGTCTCACTCCAGAGCCTCAACGCCAGTCTGTCTCTCCCCCATAGGAACAGGGATTGAACCCAGGGCCTTTGCACTGAGCTCAATGTTCAGCCCTTTTGAGATAGGCTTCAAGTTACTAAGTTGCCCAGGTGGGGTTAGAACTTGTGATCCTTCTGCCTCAGCCTCCCAGAGTGCCGAGATTATAGGTGTGAACCACCACACTTGGCTCCAATATGCCCTCCTCATCACACAAAAACTGAGCACATACAATTTAACACCCCTCTCAGTGACCATAACAGTGCAAGATCACTGGTCTAGAGTGATTTTTTTTTCCACAGAACATGACCCCTGGATTGTTGAGGGGGTGTCTTGGGCACTGTAGCCTCCCTGGCCACACATTCTATCCAGAGCACCCTTTGTCCATCTGGGACAACTCTAAATGTCCAAGACAATACCCCATCTTCTCTGGGGGCAGAATCACCCCTGGTTGAGTGAGAACCACTGGGTCAAGGGACCGCATATTGCATTTCATGGTCACCTGCACTGCTGAGGTCCTAAGAAGCTGGACACAGTGACATTCATCACTGAGTAGGGAGGGACAGAGGGATCAACGTTTTGAAGCAGGGTCCCCTGGTCACATGTCTGCCCCAGTAGGAGTGCGTTTTGCTGTGTCCGGCAACGGAGTGAGCTCCATCTGCAATCTGTTTCCCAGTAATAAATACAGGACTCTCCTCTGAGTTGGGATATCCTGGACACTGCAGTGTACAGAGCAGCGTCCCTGGCTTCCACCTGCTCCCCCTTCAGCCCAAAAAAACTGCCCTTGATAGAGAACAACTCTTCTGAGGAGAAGGCAGACAAAACAATCAGACAGAAACAAAGACAGGGGCCAGGGAGATGGCTCAGTGGAATAAGTGCTTCCCTGGCAAGCGCAAGGGACTGAGTTCAATCCTCGGTTCCAACCAAAAAAAAAAAGAAAAGAAACAAAGACTACTCAGCCTACAAGATTCAGACCATCTTCTGATGCCACTCCTAGTAAAAATACCCATTCTCTAGGACACACTTAGCCAACTCTTGGCATCTCAGACATGAACGTTAGGAACACTAACTTCGCAGATCTTGCCCCGCAAGGCACAGACTTTAATTTCTGGCACAGACTTTTACAGCTCCTTTTTTAGGGTGAAGAAAAGGAGCGCTCGGGGAGGGGTAAGTGACTTGCTCAAGTTTACACAGCTGTCAACGAATTCGAACTGGTCCCCGCCCCTCTTATCCCCCAAATCTAGCATCACATTCATAAGTCCCTCAAATTGAACTAAGTGTCAATAATAAGCCTTTGGCGTTCCCGCTTTGCGCTCTCTGCACTGTGGTTCTCATATGCTCAGGGAACGACTGACGACAGCCGTCTTACAGAAACAGAAACTGAGGCTCCGGGCGGACAAGAGGCTGGCCTCTCTCACCAGGAGAGGCGGCGCAGGGACGAGAGCCGGGACAAACCTTATCTCCGGGTCGACCCGACAGTATTTCCAGTAAGCTCAGAAGAACTACGGCAGCTACGCGTCGGGTGCTTTTATCACCTGTGGTCCTTGCCACCCACCTGGGACCTACCATTTCTACAGTTGGAACCCAAGAGAGGGAGACCCGAATCCGCGCTGGGCCGCCCGACGGCGCCTTACCTCAGTATCCCTTTCGCACCGCCCACTCACAGGACCGCGCGGGGCGCAGCAACTCCGGCTCCAGACCTACCTCCTCTTACGGACTCCTGAGAACCGCAGACTCTGAGCCGTTGAGCCCGGGCCCACCCAGCTAGGCGCGGAGCCCCCCCACTCACCTCTCAGGCGACAGAGCACCGACCCACCGACGGCTGCGCCTGCGCACCGTGGCGCCGCTCGGCTCCGCCTCCTTCATCTCAACGCTTGCGCAGAAAGAGCCCTCCTCGGTTTGTTTTTATTCTGCGCAGGCGCGTCCGTGAACGCCCCTTGCGTGAGAGGAAGTGACGCAATTTAGAGGCGGGAACAAACTGGTCGTTAGGGCAACTGACCTCTCAGACCCAATAAAGGCCGGAAATTAGGGCTGATTTGGAGTCTATAACCAGGATGGAGCGGTGCTTGGTGGAGCAGGGGAGGACTCCAGCTGGTCGGCTGAGCAGACCACGTGGTATACAGATCGCCGAGTGATTTGCGAACTGCCGGGAGTCTGAGTACTTGGATCTTGGAGTGTCACGGGTACTCCGTTAATTGGATTCATTGTTACCCACTCGGTATCTTTGTTCATTTATTGACCCATCCGTCCAGCCACTCACTGGAAATTCATTATTTAATTCATTCAATCCGTAAAGTGTAAAACTGGTGTTTGCATACAGCGGGTGGCTAATGTTTAACAAAAAGTTATTGCAAATCAAAGAGCAGCAAACTATTCTTATTACTTTGTATTGGGGTAGAGAGATTATCACCTAATAAGTAATTGTATAAGGTAACAAAAAATTTCACTAAGTAGCAAACAGTATTTATATGGGGAAAATGTCACTCCCAATCTGCTAGATACCACGTGCTGAGTTTGTGTCCCCAAATTATCTAAGAATGAATTCCATAGGACAAAGAAGGTTAAGAATAGCAGAAATTTGCTTTTTTTTTTTTTTTTTTTTTGGAGTGATTTATTAAGAAAACATTCTTACCAGGCATGGTGGCACATGCCTGTAATCCCAGCACTCAGGAGGCTGAGGTAAGAGGATTGTTGCGAGTTTGAGACCAGCCTAGGCTTAAAGTGAGCTCAAGACCACCCTGAACTACATAGAGAGACTCGGTCTCAACAAGACGAAAATAAAGAAATGAGGAAAAAGCTCTTGAGGGACAGAAGGGATCTCAAATGGGTGCCCACCAAAGCCCTTTGTCAGGTGGAATTTATACAGCAAAGTACCCACAACGTGGGTCAGACTAAGATGAACCTACAGCACTACAAGCTTAACTAGTATTGATCCAATAGGGAAGCTAGTAGGGTAGTAAGAGTACGTGGAAAGATCAAAGGGATTCTCGGAAAGAGAGGGAAACAGGTTTAGATGTCTGGTCACTTAACTATGTGTCCAATACCTATCTGGCCTTAGGTAGTGCTAATTACAGTGTAATCTTAAATTGTCCTTTATCTCTAGGAAGGCTTGCAGTCCTGGCTGTTGCTTCTCTGTATTGAAGCCTGGCTCTGGTTAGATTCACCTCCAGCCACAGTTCTGTTGCCTTGTTTCTTTTCTTTTCTTTTCTTTTTTTTTTTTTTTCGGAACTAGGGATTGAACTCAGGCCCTTGCGCTTGCCAGGGAAGCACTTATTCCACTGAGCCATCTCCCCAGCCCCATCTTTTTGGTCTTTTTTGATCCAGCCACAGTTCTTTTCTTTCTTGCTTTTTTTTTTTTTTTCCTGCCAGAACCAGGGATTGAACTCAGGCCCTTGCGCCTGCCAGGGAAGCACTTATTCTACTGAGCCATCTCTCCAGCCCCTCAGCCACAGTTCTGAAGTCTCTATTTTTGGTGCTAGTATATGTAATTTAGCTGTCTATAATAATTTCACAGAGTAGTCCAGGCTGGACTGAACCTGCAATCTCCTGTCTCAGCTTCCTGAGTAGTTGGGATTACGAGTGTGCTCCAGTGTCCCTAGAGCAGAGAAAACAAAACAAAACTCCATTAAATGGAGGACTCTTTGCACCGAGGAGTTAGAAGGCAACTGGCAGGCTGGGGAACCCAGAGGTTCAAATCACTAACTCAGAGTTGGGTTTGATTTCAGTTTAAGAAATGCATTCTTTTTTTTTTTTTTTTTTTTTTTTTTTTGGTGGAACCGGGGATTGAACTCAGGCCCTTGCACTTGCCAGGGAAGTGCTTATTCCACTGAGCCATCTCCCCAGCCCCAAAGAGAAAGAGTCGGGACGGAGGCGCAAACCGGCGACCTCGCGCTCCACAGCCTGGCACCGAGACCGCCGCACTAGGTCGCCGCCTTGAGTTCAATTTAAATATGGTTTGCCAGTGGGAAGGGGAAAGCTGATAGCAGACTATTACATGATTGGTTACATGAAATATGAGAATTATGTCATACATTGTCAGGCAGGTTTGCACAGGAGCATTCTGGGAGGGAGGGCGTCTGAGAGGAGCAGGTAGAGTTGAAAGTGTCCTTGACTGGGTCAGTCTTCCTCCAAATATGATGGCGTTGAAGCAAGTTGGAGTCACTGTATTTATTTATTCATTTATTTTATTTATTTTTGCTGTACCAGGGATTGAACTTGGGACCTTGAGCTTGCCAGGCAGGCACATATGTCACTGAGCTATATGCCTGGCTCCTATTGTGGAGTTTTAAAACACAAGCCAGACACAGTCAGTTTTTTTTTTGTTTTTGTTTTTTTTTGTTTTTTAATAAAGTGGTATGAGCTTTATTGTTTTGTGATCCCAGGGAGCAAACTCAGCAGTGTTGTACCACTGAGCCACCCATCCCCCACCCCTTTTTTTGGAGACAGCATCTCACTAGGTGAGATTACAGTTGGGATTACAGGTGTGGGCCACTATTCCTGTTTTAAAATTTTAATCATACTCAGGAGATTGAGGCAGGTGCATTATGAAGTCAAGACCAGCCTGGACAACACAGCAGGTTCAAGCCCAGCATGGACTACAGAGTGAGACCTTCCATCTCAGAAGAAGGGATGCTAACTAGAGGATCAGAAGCTGCTGTTTCCAGTGCTTCCTCCTGTTCACAGATGAGGCTTGATCTGTCTTTCACGTTAGCAAGATGTGCTCTTCCACCTTCAAACGTTTTTTCGAGGCTGAAGCTCCAACTTCATTTTCATTTTCATGTAGAAAGTTACACATCATGTTGGTTCTGTAGGAGAAATCATTATCTTTCATCTGCAGCCATTCTACTCCTCCTGTGCTTTCTTCTCCTTCCTTCTTCTCTGTCAAGAGAGTTCTGGTCATGCTGAGTTTCTTCATTGTGTGGCATTTATATTTCAGCACTGTTTTACTGTTGCCTTCTGTATCATGTTCAACGTTTTCTTCGAATATAACATAGGTTCCAACAGTATCTTCATACTCCCCAGCAAAGACGTAGCTGTCCAACTGCATAATGGGCCTGGCAGTGTTAGTCCCCAAAATCTTGCATTTATTTTCACATTTTGAGAGAAAATCTGAATCAATAATTCCTGACAACTCCACCAGGACAAACTGCTCTGCCTCCTCCTCATCCTCATCATCTTCATCGTCCTCTTCCTCCTCCGCGTCTTCCTCCCTCTTCGCTGAGTCCTCCCGCCAGGGATCCTCGGTAGCCGACATGGGCCTGCGGGATCTGGGTCACTATTCACGCCCACCCGGAACCGCCATCTTTAGTACGGGCAGCAGCTCCTCCCAGACACAGTCAGTTTGACCTACACCTTGTTAAGGGGTAACATCTGGGCCTAGACAGGCAAGCCTAGCTAAATGACAGAAAGCATGGATATAGGTGCCATAATATGCCTACAAGTGTGATGTTTTGTGTGTGCCCAATCATACCTATTAGTTTCCCAATTAACTTTTAGCCTAGTTAAAACATATACACACAATTAATGCTCTGAATTATTTTATCTGGAAGAAATAAGGAGATGGGGGGACTACCTGCTTGCCCCCCCATCCCTCTGTTGGACAGGAGCTTTCTTTCCCTCAATAAGTATATTTTTCAATCCCCAGTTCTGCCAAAAAAAAAAAAAAAAAGGGTTAGGGAGATGGCTCAGTAGAATAAGTGCTTCCCTGGCAAGCACAAGGGCCTGAGTTCAATCCCCGGTTCTGCCAAAATAAATAAATAAATAAATAAATAAATTTTGCTCATAAAAAAAATAAGGAGATGGAGTGTTCTGGGCCAGTTTAACTCTAGGTTTTTTGTTTGTTCTTCTGGTTGCCTTGGTCTTTTATTTATCTATTTATTTTTTCTGGTACTGGGGATTGAACTCTGACCCTGCACTTGCCAGGCAAGTGCTTATTCTACTGACCTATCTCCCCGGTCCAGTCTTTTATTATTATTATTATTATTATTATTATTATTTTACTTAGGATATAGGTCAGGTTACTGTGCTATTCTGTATTATCTGTGATTTAAACTCATGGATTCATCTATTGATTCATTTATTCATCTTGTTTGGTTATAGTATATTTCTCACTTAGGTTTTTGTATTTTTCTTATTTTCGTTTATTTTTTTTTTTGGTGGAACCGGGGATTGAACTTAGACCCTTGCACTTGCCAGGGAAGCGCTTATTACTGAGTCATCTCCCCGGCCCTATATTTATTTATTTATGTATTTATTTTTGGTTCCGGGGATCGAACTCAAGGTTTTTCTTTATTTGATGAACTCCAGTTAACATTCGAGGTATACCTACTCCGTTCCTTAGATGCGGGAATCTGGACAGGATTCTAGAAATGAGATAATTTACAAAAAGCTCCTGGACACAACAACCAGAGGCTGAAAATTTGTACAACTAGCCCAACAGGGCCAGGGAGATGACTCAGTAGAATAAGCGCTTGCCTGGCAAGCGCAAGGGCCTGAGTTCAATGCCCGGTTCTGCAGAAAAAAACAAAAACAAAAACTCTCACACAATTATATAAACAGGAGTCTTATACAGTGGGGCACGTCTGTAATCCCGGCACACAGGAGCTTGAAGGAGGAGGATGGCCACCGGTTAGAGACCAGCCTGAAGTGCACTTCAAAACCCTGCCTCAAAACGACTTAAAAAAAAAAAAAAAAAAAGTAAGTAGGGGCGGGGATGTAGCTCAGTGGTACAAGCGCCTGCTTGACAACATAAAGTCCTGGGTTCGATTCCTGGTCGGTAAAAAAAAAAAAAAAAAAGGAAGGAAAGAAAGAGCTAAGAGGTTGCAATGGGAAATCAGTTCGTCGGCTCATTACTGTGTGAGCTACGAAAACGCTTAATTCGAGACTTTGAGGGTGGAGCTATGGGCTCCAACCACCTACGAGAGCCAATAAGGGCCCGGGAGGGGTGCGGCGCTTGCGCAGAGTGCGTGGGCGTTCGGGCTCCTCCTCGCGGTGTGGGCGGAGCTCCAGCACGCGTGCGCCCAGATAGCTTTGCGCACGCGCTCTCCCAGGATGCCCTGGGCGCGCGGGCGGCGGGCGCCGGAGTCCGCAGGCGAAGGGATTGGAGCCGGAGCTGATCTCGGCGAGGTGTTCACCGCGGCAGAGGCTGCTGGACGTGGGCAGGTGCAGCAAAGGCTCCGCTGTTGCAGACCGGTCCGCCATGAAGCCCCCAGCAGGTACCGGCCGCCCTCGCTGAGGTCCGCCTCCCGGACCCCGGCGTTCCCTGCGCCCGCGCGCCGACCGGGATAACAACTGGGGCCTAGGACCGGCGCTGAGGGACCCTTGGCGGGCGTTGGGAGGAGGACGGTGGCCGACCCCGCCTCTTCGCCTCCGGAGTGAATAAACCAACTTTTCCGGAGCTTCTCCATTGAGCAGACTTCATAGATTTCTCCCCCGTACGGGCGGGCGGGTCCTGGGGTGCACGCGGGTGGACTTTGGGGAAGGCTGTGATTTAAGAATCTGGTCCTTGCTCTTCCGGAGCCGGACGCAGACGGTCACCAAGTAAATAAAACCGAGTATGGTGGCGCCCACTTGTAATCCTAGCGCTCGGAGGCTGAGCCAAGAGGATTGCCAAGTTTGAGCCCACGCTGGGGCCACTTGTCGGGACTCTGGGGTTATCGCTCAGCGAGATGGCCTTGGACTCAGCCTTAGTTCCAGAGGCAGAGGAAACAGTAAACGAGGAGTTTAAGTAGGGATTGGTGGCTTGGAGCAAGTAAACACAGATGAGACAGCCCCAGGCACTTTGTTAGAGAGCTGGTCCTGGAGGATTTCTCAGAGGAGGTGGCTTTAGAGCCTGGATTTAGTTGCCAAGATCTTTCGGTGCATGGCTCAAGAAGGGAACAAGGCAAAGAGCCAGGACCTCACCCGGCTATTGTGTTGGGAGAGTAGAGATCATCTGGCTGGAGCAGAGCAGGCTGGGGGGCTTTAAGGGAGAGCAGAGGGACAGGTATTGGAAGGGAATCACCTTGCCCCGCGTCAGTATTCAGAAGCTCAGGTTGATGTATGGGTCCTTCCTAGCTTGTGTTTTTGGGTTTCCTCGCACCCCGCCTGTGCTCCCCCCAGTTCTCTTTTCAGCCAGTTGCAATGAGATGATAATTTTAGTAATGACAATAGTAATAATTAGAGTTATTCAGGCTTCAGGGAGGTGGAGATGTTGTGTGCTGTGTTTGCTGCTGGATTGTTAGCTCAAAAACCAGCACAGAGGCGGTAGTCACTAAGCAATTTACATGACAAGTGGAAATCCTAGAAGCCTCCTCCCAGAGAATTTTCAGACCAGTCCACTTCCCTTGGAGCTCCATGTTTCCCACAATGTGGAGCCCTTCTTGATCACAGGTTTCAATATGGGTTCCTGGCTCCCTTCTGCATCCTTCAACCCAACATGCTCAGTCCATGGGATATTTCCCTTAAGTTCTCAGCAGTGTCACCTTGCCTTACAATCTGCCTTATGTGGGGCTTCCCTCCCCCACCTTAGTGTATCAGAGGCTACCTCCGAAGAGTCGTGGCAATGTGGCCGGACATTTGTGGTTATCACAACTCAGGAATCTCCTGGAATGGAGCCAGTAGAGACTAGGGTTGCTGCCCAGCATCCTGCAGTGCCCAGGACACTCCACCCCGGGAAGGATGTGACCCCCATGTGTCCTGGTTCACAAGCTGAGAAACCCTGGTGTTCAATGCCTTACTCCACTGCATAAAGAGTAATTCAATTCTATGGTGCTGCCACGCCTCCTACGATGTTACATAGTAAGTGGCTTTTGTACTGTACCGCCTTTCTAAAATGTAGGGAATCTTGATTTTCAAGTCATCCCTGGCACATCTGGAGGAGAGATTACAGTGTGTCACAGCAGCCGCCCATTGAGACCTGTTCTCTCCTTCTATCGTGGTGCCCTCAGACAGTTGTGACCTTTTGCCCTACATTGCCCCCCCCCCTTCCAGGAGGGAATCTTGAGGTTTGCAGAGGTCTTGCAAGGTCAGCAGGCAGCAGGTGGTCAGATGGGGCTCCCACTTGCTCCTGTGAGCTCCCTGCTACTTGTGTAAAAGGGTACATCCAATTGGAAGCCCCCTTCCCAGGGTTTCTTCTGCCACTTGGAAGTGAAGTCGGGGCTGGTGAGATGGCTCAGTGGTCTGAAGCACCTACTTAGAGCAAACAAGCTTAGCAAAGCACAGGGACCACGGTCAATCC